CTGACGAGGCTTTTCTTTCAATACAGAGCTCATTTCGCAAACCTGCTGGATAATAACATTAAACATAAAAAACACTTCATTAACACATTGTATGATGTAACATAACTACCTTGAGAAGATCCGGTATGTAGCAAACAGTCTGGCTATCGTGAGGTAATTAAGTCAATAAATTTAAAATTTTGTATGGTTTAAACATTCTACTTTTCTATATAAAAATACAGTATGTATTTCATATATCTCACTATGAAATTCATAGGAATTTCATTGCAGTTAATTGGATTATTCCTACTGGGGGCCTTGGGTTAAGATACCTGTATTCTGTTTGTTTTGTTCTAAATTTCGCGCTAGCCACTCCTAACTTAGTAGTGATAGGGAAGGCAAATAGTCAACACCATCCACCGCCAACTCTTGGACTACTCTTTTACCAACGAATAGTGGTATTATAACGTCCTCACGGCTGAAAGGGTGAGTACGTTCGACCCGTAGATTGCGAGTCGAGAACCCTAACCACAAGGCCATGCCCTGTATTCTAATTGACTCATATAGATGATAAAAGATGATGTGAAAGTTGCTTTGAAAACAAAAGTCTTCTTGGTTCTCATGTACGGTACATTACAGATGTGTTTGTTTGTTGTTAATCACAAAGCTACACAATGGGCTATCTGTGCTGTGCTACCCACGATTATCGATGAATTGTATTATTATAGCATTTACCTTTCCAACATATCACAATTCATTGCATCCTAATATTAGGCAAATAGGACTCTTTCATCATCATTACAAAAGTTACAATTAATTCCATTTTAAAGATAAATCAAAATTCAAATTAAAGCCGTCTGGAACTCCTTTGACCATATTGTGTTAATATCTTCTATATCAACTTATGTTTTACTGTTATCCGTACCTAGAAATTTAATGGTTTTTTATGAACTGTAAATCTGTTTTTATCACTGTAAGTATTTATCTAGGGTCAACAGCCATTGTAGCATTGTTGGTAATAGTAGTATTATTATTCATTAATAATAAAGCCTAGTGGTAGGGGTACATCACACTTCTAAAATAATATTTGTTTACGGTACGAAACTTAAATCAACCACTGTGACTGTGAGCAAAATTTTTTATTTAAATATAAATAAGAATTATTTTAACCATAAAACCAATCTGCAGGTTTGAAATGTTACTTTATTAGCAATATTATTAATTAGTAGGCTACAGAAACTGGAATAACACAATGAATTAATAACGTTTGGGGATGGAAGGCTTACAACTCGGGTCACGAACAACGAATGATATAAATTTATGTTTAGTGAGGAACCTACTGAAATTAAAAATTAATTCAAAAATACAACAACAGCATCTTTTACAGTAAGCTACTTCTGATTTTAAATAATTTCAAATTTTCGACATTCCAAAATGTAACTTTACCTGAGGCTGGTGATGACCCGATATTATGGGTCGAAACGTAATAATTTAAAGTCAAAGCTTGTCTACTGTAAAAGTTGATTTTATTGTATTTTTAAATTAAAAATTGATATCATTTTAACTCTATATTTCTGGATAGTTATGAGGATTTTCAACCATACACGATTCAGTAATAAAACACAACTTTGAAGTTTACTAGTATTAATACTGCCTCAGTGTCTGTAGACAGTAGGCCTACAGGCTACAGTACAGGTTACACAAATTGTTACTGCTGCCAAAACCACATTTTTTTTATGAATACAAATTGCACCTGCAACGGAAACTACTAAATTTATTTATGAATTTCGCTTATTTCTCACCAAATCCTACAAATGATTAAAATTGTGCTTATGTACATATTCTAAATATACGTTATTAGAAAAGCAAACTTACACCAACAGATAAGTCTGTGATAAATACCTGGACTGTCAAGTTGAAGACTTTTAGTGGAACTTTGTCTAATTTAACGCTACTTTCTGGATAATTTTCAAGTTTGTCCTCGTTCAGCGTTCCTTTGGAAATGAAAGGCAAGTTCAACCACATGTTCTTCAACTTCTTGTTGGTAAGTTCATTAGTTTGATGTGGAATCCACATTAAAATCCAAATACAACACAGAAACAAACATATTATTCCAACAAGTAAATTCTTCTTTTGGTACAAAAATAGGTTATTAGCTCGAAACATCGTTATATGGTAATAGTTGGTTCTGTTTCAACAAACCGATGTCATATACCACAGATTACGGAATTAGGCTATTATTAATATTATTAATCCTTATTATAGGTTACGGTCGTTTAATAGTTCCTTCGTGTTCGAATAAAAACAACTTTAACGTGATTAATTATTCACACTGAAGCAGAACGCACAATATCTTTCCCCCTTTCTATAATCATTGTAAACTTTTAGCAATTGACTAATTAAACTTTGCTGCTCCCTGACGTAGTGCCTTGCCTGTCAGTGCCAGTAATTATCAACGGTACTGTATAAGAGTTCAGACACACTAGTAAGTATAACAACCAATTGCCCTTGCGATAACGCGACTTGGAATAACTCTACCAATCAGGTCGCGTAGCAACGCTTTCACTACAGTGATACAAGTGTAAACGAGTAAAAGAAACGAAACACCTGCACAAGTCAGCACAAAGAAAAGCACGTGTAACAACTTCGAATGAGCACGGTTCACGTTTCTGTAGCACAATAATACCAAATATGTTGAAACACTTCTACATAAATATCCATTACGTGCATACGCGCACTTCTCAGAAAGATTGAGAAATGATAGCTTTTACCAACAAACCTTTAAATCTGTGTTTGTTTTCGATCATGATCATGCTATTTTGTATAAGATAAAACATGGGGACACGAATAGCGATATTATGCCAACAGAGATAATACGTTTGTTTATCTGTACGTTTTTTTGGTTGTTTTTTTTCTTGGCCTACTGGAGTGGTTAATCTACAACAAACAGCTCTAAAATATATTTCAAACGTTTGTAATTGTGAGATTTTACAAATCCAAACCAACTCACCTGCCTGTCTCTCTCCCTTCTTCACCATTCGAGGCTACATACAGTAGCGTATCCAGGGGGGTTGCCTAGAACTCGTCCTCCTGCTGAGTTGTTCTATTTGATAATAAAGTTAGAAAAAAAAACTACCTTTACACTCGATAATTATAAGATAACTTTTATTTTAACCAACGTTTCGCCTTTGCGGTGTCTTCAGGGCTAATAACACAAAACTGGTTGATATTACAATATTTGTAACGTAATAAAAGTTATTTTGTGTACTTTAGAATAACCGCACCAGTGATCGAAAAGTCGTACCTGTTCTAAAAACAAATCTTACTTACTGTAAAAGCTGTAAATTATAATAAAGTATACTTAATTAGTAAGTAAACTCAAAACAAAACTATTAATTCTTAGTTGTTGCATAACTAACAATACAAGTATTCCACAACCCCATAATTTTCGTTTTTTTTGTTTGTTTTGGATGTTCTTTTATTATTGTTTGTTTGTTTTTTAATTTCGCGCAAAGCCACATGAGGGCTATCTACGCTAGCCGTCCCTAATTTAGCAGTGTAAGACTAGAGGGAAGGCAGCTAGTCATCACACCCACCGCCAACTCTTGGGCTACTCTTTTACCAACGAATAGTGGGATTAACCGTCGCATTATAACGCCCCCACGGCTGAAAGGGCGAGCAGTTTTGGTAGAACGGGGATTCGAACCCGCGACCCGCAGATTGCGAGTCGAGCACCCTAACCATCTGGCCATGCAGGGCCTCTTTTATTATTGCAAGACTGATTGTGGCAATCTGTTATGATATCATTTGGTTTATGTAATACACCTAATACATTTCAATGATTAATGGAGTTTACTCTCTCAGAACTGTCCTGGAATATCATAAGTATCTACTTGGATGAGATAAACGAAGAAAACCTTTGCTAATGCTTAGATAGGCTAAGGAAAGTTCTGGATCAGTTGAGGAAAGAGAACTTTAAGCCGAATCTCAAGAAGTGTGAATTATTCTATGAACAGGTGAGTTTCCTTGCACGCACAGTTAGTAGAGAAAGAGTGTCTGTAAACAAATCTAAAACTTGGTCTCTTCAGAATTGGCTAACATCAAGGATTCAAGGATTTTTTGCAGTATGCTTTTACTATTTTTTTTTCTTTTGACATAGCTCGTCCTCTTCACAAATTAATTGACTAAGTTTTGTTCGGCTGCTCATTGTGAACAATGATGGAACATTCAATATATTAAAAAAACATTAACCAATACTTCTGTATTATTATCTCCAACTCTTGAAGATACACTCATTTCTTGTAGTGGGAGCAGTGTTATCACAAGTATAACATGGAAGACAATACGTGATGCCTACTATAGCAAAGCAATGAATAGTGTAGAAAGTAGATATTCTACTACTTGGAAAAAGCCATTAAGTCTTATTTGAGCCTGTTACGTATTAGAATTTCAAAAGAAATTGAGTTAACTGATAATTTAAATTTAGTAGTTAAATTGTACTTTGGATTTAGTATTTAAATATATGCCGATATATATAGTCAGTTTATGATGTTTGCCAACAAGATTGATACACACTTTTCTTTTTTAACACAAATACGTTTTAATATTACAAACAATGATTTATAAACAAAAGTTTCACAAACTTACAAGCAATATAAATCTAGTCTGGAACTTCCTTGATATCTTATCAAAGGTTCACGATGAGCGAGTTAATTACGAGTTGATGTAAGTACGATTCGTTTAACGGGAAGCAAGCTAGCTTTATCCTTCGTTTTTATCGGCCACACATGCTGAGTTTTCCACGATGAATTTATATAATGTTTCCGTAAAAATACTAATGTCCGATGAGAATCCACTGAAGTTAAATGGTTTGTAATGTTCGAACTTTGTAAAGGTTTCTAGTCAAATATCTGAAGTTTTCCGATTGATAAGCATTATAATAATCACAGTTATAGTTTCCAAAGTTTATAGCACATTGACTATAGTGAACTAATAATAGATACTCTCTTTTGGCGCGTCGCGTTGGTTATATTTATAGGTGTATGGAGGTCTTCTAAAAAATTCAGATTACGTAACAATACTGGCGCTAACACAGGTGGTTATATTGTTGATTCTTACTCTCTAGAATCTTCTTCAACCTTGGAGAATAGGCGGGAGTTTCGCAATACATATTTAACAGTATAAGCTATGTATGTTTCTAAATATAAACTTAATCTAAACAACGTTGGTATTAAAATAAATATGTAATATCAAATTCGTTATAGAGCCTCAAGTCATTTCCATCATTACCTATACAAAGGTTTACACTATGGACAGTTCGTGCAACATTGAAATGGCTGGTGAATTTTTGCAATTTAGAAGGCTAGATAGCAAGATGGTTTCAGAAATTTCAGGAGTACAACTTTTAACGTCATACATTGCCCTGGAAGAAGCCATGGAAGTGCGGATGCATTATCCTGAAGACCATATGTTAAGGAAGAATATAAACACTGTGAAAGGAGGGAAGCACGAGACAGTAAAGATGACCAACCTAAACCACAATAATCCAAGATGAAACGTCCATGAACGATGATGAAGAACTAATGTAGCCCAACACTCAATTGAAAGATACTCAAACAAAAGATGCAAGTATGAAATCACTTATTCAGTGGAACAAAAATCCTGCAGAAAATCCCTCGTAACAGATAGATACATTCACCATACAACCCAAAGATGTACTTGGCACATGGGGGTTCATTATGCTCACAACAGGATTTTTTTATGTGGAAAATAAAGATACCAGTGGACAGAAAATGCAGCTACGGTTGTTACTTACACAGTTTATACATTCAGAAGCTTTCTGTCATCTCCACAACCTTGGATATTTAGACATTAAGAAGACATTGGAGGAAGTAAGATAATGCTTCTATTTGGTTGGGTGCCGAGGATCTATAGATGTTTTACTGATCACAAAGCAGATGTAACTGGCCAATAAGAGAGCTCATAACCCACCACGTGTATGGCTGCAATTAGTAATTTTGCCGTGTTCTGTTTCTCCATTTCAGTAGATGAAAATGATAAAGATGTGTGCCTGGGTCACCTGAAAAAAAGTAACACAAAGTATCCAGAACGTGTGGAAGAGAAAGTATCTTTTATCCTGTTTCCAAAACTGAAGACAAACATAAAAGAAATATCTGTTATGGAAGCTTTGTGGGAGACCAAACGAGTCCAACAAAAAGCATTAAAAACCCACACGTCTGCACATATGTATACCTACTATGCCCGAAATGGGTAATATGTGTTGAACCATTCAAAAGCTCTTCAAACTACCAAAATTTAGTTTTCCTCGAGCACTGTTTGAAGGTTATATGTCTGTATATCATTGTTTTCCACTTTAAAAAAAGACTGCATATTTTAAAGAGTTTTTGTGGGTTACAAATAGCCTTATAATACTTAATGATAATTAATTCATTTAGCTGATGCCTTTATCCAAGATGATTTACAATCAGTCATTAAATATAGTATGATACATATACAGTCACACAAAGACATAAAGTAGCAATCCTTATATCACATGAAAAATAATTAAAATATATATCTAAAACTGTCCATGAACGATTGCGGCACTAATAATAACAATAAAAGTTCACACTCTGTTTAAACCAAACTTTGTCAAAAGGGCGTTCAACATACCTACAGAATGATTATTATAAAAATGGTGAACTTCCCCTTAGTTTTGTTGTTTTCTATTTTTTAGGATATTGTCGACTGCTAAGGTTTTGACATTGTTGACTGTGGGGCGAGATTTTGCCAGTTTTCTAATAGCAGGTTGTAACATTTTTGTTTTAATTTGTAAACTCGAACACTTGAATTTGTGCCAGCTGCCATGTTTGTTTTGGTAGTTTGATTGTCATAGCAACAGCAACTAGGTCTTGAAGAGGAGGGTTGAGTTAAAGTAAGTTTGAGGATCAGTCAGTAGGTGTAAATCATATGAAGTATGCTATAAGTGAAAAGGTCCATGAAAGAAACATCATGTGAAGCTACAGCAGTACTGTGTTGGATCACCACTTGAGAGAGTTACTGTCAATGTGCTTGGTCCTCTTCTATAGAGTAATATTGGGAATAAATACATTATAGTTATGATGGATTACTTCACCAAATGGCCAGAATTATCCTGTATTCCTAACCAGGAATACAAAATTTAGCAAGGAACCTTATCAATGAATTTGTTTCAAGATTTTAAATGCCTATGAAACTTACTCGGCATAGTCAAATGGTTTGGGCGATCGACTCACAATCTACGGGTCGCAGGTTCGAATCCTCATCACAACAAACATGCTTGCCCTTTCAGTCGTGGGGACGTTATATAATGGCACGGTCAATCCCATTATTTGTTGGTAAAAGAATAGCCCAAGCGTTGACGGTGGGTGGTGATG